GGGTAACCCAATAAATAATTATAAGCGAAAACTGGAAAATATTTTCCTTCATGTAATCGAAAACCAAATGGTGGGGGAAAAAAATGCGAAAACAAAAACTTAGGATACGATAAAATACACATAATGGGATACAAATCATTCGAACAAAAATGCAGATTAAATACATAAAGAAAGTAAAACTGGGAACCACTTTTTGAATTTTTAAATTCGTAGATAAAAACGTGTATATATTCATGCATAAATGTTTAATTGAATGTGTAACGAATAATTAAGATAAAAAGGAAGGGATTAACATACGTCAATTGATGCTTCCGACAATGCTAAAGAAATGGAAGAAAAATCTCGTCGTTTTGAATGTTAAGATCTGACTGTGTATTTATTGGATTCTGTGCACGTTTGGCTACCTTATAAAATAATATTTATAACCAGGTGAAGAATGCATTTTAAATAATGATGTGATAGAAAATATAAGGTTAAAAAAAGAAGAATTTTTTTGAATTTACTAGTTAGTAATATTATTTTATTAAAGATTGTATAATTGAAAATTAGCCCCCGTTTGGTGCACATTTTGAAGGTAAGAATGCATTTTTACTGTAGATGTGATGGAGAATATGTGGTTGAAAAAGAAGGAAAAGTTATTGATGTGATGAAAAATATTATTTTATTAAAGATTGTGTGGTTGAAAATGAGTATAAGAATGAGAATAAAAAAAATAATGTGAACCAAACAAGGCCTTAGTATTGAAAGAATCCATTTTTTTTTAGAATGTGGATCAAACAGAACCTAAACTATTAATACATAATTAAAAGTTTAGAATAAACATTTTTGTTGGTACAAAAATTTTTATTTTCATTCTTATACTCATTTTTAACCACACAATTTTCAATAAAATAATATTTTTTATCACATCAATAACTTTTTCTTCTTTTTTAACCACAAATTTCACATCAATCTATTATTTCAGAATACATTCTTTCAAAATAATGTGGCTCAAACACACCTTAAGTTGCACTTTCGTGAGAAAATAAGTGTTTTTATTCGTCCTTTAGATTCCATTTTTTTTCAAAATACAATTTTCAAAAATGTATTTTCAACAACGCATTCTTCCATAAAAATAATATTACACATAAATTCAAAATTTTTTCCTATCTCTAGATCGCACATTATTCGAAAAATCACTATTTCAAAATATATTTTCATCAAAATCACTTAATGGTGCCCAAATAGGGGCTAGTTATGGAAATATTTGTGATATTCCGCCGACAAGCTACAAGAAATAGATTAATAAGAAAAAAGACTTGTGAAACAAATACGTGAGTTTGATGTATCGATTAGATCGTGTGTGTGTATATTTATTTATTTATTTAGAGTCATTTCTTAGGTTTAATGACTAATGTGCACCTAGACACTTTTAGAATGTAGACAATTTTTGTGCGGTTGTGCTACATTTATATAATAATTTACATATATATGATGTGGTAAAATATGATTGAATCAGAATTTTTTCAATCAAATAAATAAATGCATCACTCTCTTTTGGACACATCATCATGTAAATCATTATTATGTACAAGTAACATTATTCTTTAATTTTTCTTTTGTTCTTTCTTTCTTTTATTATTTATTTTGTCTTTGGATGGGTTTGACTAGCCACTGGAAGGAGGAATTCGATTACTTTTATTTTTTGTGTTTTTAGTTATCACTAAAATTATATTTTAAGTTATGTTATATACTATTTAAACTTATGCATTTCAAAAATGTCAAATCAAACAAGCTTTAGACGTTTCACGTAATCAAAAGTTGAAAACAATTTGAAAATAGAAAATCAAGCACCCTCTAAATGGCCATTTTTAAGGTAAACGTGTCGAAAAAATGAATAATATTACTTATACATAATGGAATTATATAATAATTTATATATAGATGAAGTATCAAAAAGATAGTATGATTTTTTATTTTATTTAGTTGAAGAAATTTTAATCCGATCATATCTCACATGCAACACCACGTCACCCCTCTCCTTACCTCTAGGGATGTCAATGTGGTTCATGGCTTAGGCCGAGCCCCATTTTGGGGTGTCGGCTGACGAACCACACGGGCCGACTTGTGCCACGAGCCAAGCCATGTTTAAGAAAAAAAAGGTTAAAAAAAGAAATTCATAAGAATTAATTTCAGCAGGTCGCTGATTCGAGCCGAAAGCTCGGGTTGACCTTAAATTTTTTGGCCGAACAAAAGTTCGGCTCGACTGAGACAAAAAAAAAAAAACTCGAACAATTTTTACTTGAGTCGAGCCCGAGCTTCATGGCTCAGCTTAGTTCGACTCGACTCGTGACACCCCTACTTACCTCTCATCAACGTTGTCACCATCACCCCTCCCCTACTCTTTTCACACCACTACCGACACCACCTTTCATCGATTTTCCATAGCTGTCAATGTAGAATCTTAATCAAACTCAAAATTTCAAGACCTAACGACGAGGACAAATTAGAAATTGCAAAAATTAAACTATTTGTACATTCTTGTTGACATTCTTTTTATGTGTTAAAAATTTGGTCAAGTGATGTAAAAAGGTGTTGTAAAAATCAATGGATATCGTATATTCTATGTCAAATAATGTCAAAATTAATGTAAAAGTTAATGTGCATGTAGCACGATTGAAATCGCAAAGATGGAGACTACCACAATACTTCAAAGGAGGTGACGCGGCATTAAATTGAATTATACTATTCTTAGTTCACATCATTATTTTTATTTTATATTTTTGTCAAGTTAATTTATTATTTGTTTGTATTATAACTTTGTGGTGGGAGAAAATATTGCAAGTTTCATCCACTTTAAAATGTATATATTATTTGATAATATATTTAAATAAAATCGTTCTAATTTATTAAATAACCAATCTCATTGAATAAAATATTGTATAACAATCTCTAAAAATCCCAAACTAAATGTATTTTCTAGTTTTCTGTTTTGAAAAATATTTTTTCAGATTGACAAATCATTTTTCTGCAGTCTTAAAACATACTTTCAAAATAAAAATATTGAAAACGAATTCAAAACTAAAAAATGAAAGTTGAATTGCAAACCAAATGAGGCTTTAATTTTTGAGAACTTGGAAGTTTTTTAACCATATGAATTATTCAGTAATAATAGTGTTTATGATTTAGATTATCTTGTATACTTTATTTTATTTATTTAAAGGTCCCAAAAATATTTAAAAATAATACTAAAAATAAGAAAACATCCTTTACGCCTAGCCAGGGCATATTTAGGCACGTAATGCTTAACCTAGTTACAACACCCTACAAAATTCAGGACACATGATTTTGGGTGAAGTCTACTCAACCTTGTGTAAAGGTTTTAGGCTTTTTACCTAAAAAAATGACATGAAATCTGACATTGTTCCCTACCTTAATATATTAATTAAAAATTATTATAAAGATGAATGTGCTGTTATTTACACCTCGTTTGATTCACATTCTTAAAAAAAAATTTATTTTCAACCACACATTTTTCAATAAAATAATATTATACGTAAATTCAAAATTTTTATTTATTTTTTATATATATATTTTTCATCAAATTACTATTTAAAATACATTCTCCACTCAATAATGAGCATCAAATAGGGTTTATGCACACCGGCAGATTTTAGCCCATGTCAGCCCTAATGCACTTCTTGTAATTTTATTTTATTTTTAATAAAACATTTTTTTATGAGGAATTTTTTTTTTTAACCTATTAGCCCATGTTAAAAAAAAAAATACTTGTCGATCCTAAATCCACCCTTGTTTATGCACTAGCGGATTTAGGGAGATGCCAGCCCCAACCCACCTCTTGTAATTTTTTTTTTAAACAAAACATTTTTGTTATGTGTAAATTTTTTTTTTTTAACCTTTTAGCCCGTATTAAAAAGCTTTTTTTGTCGATCTTGAATCCGCCCCTGTTTATGCACGATTCCTCCATGAGTTTATCCACCACGTCTATTTGCGTCACCCTTCCTACCGCTGCATCAGTATATTCAACTGCTAAGCACCCTAAACATGAAGTTGCAATGGCAAACCTGAAGTGTTCCGTGCTTAATCAAGGAAATTAACTCTTCTAAAATGCAGCAAAATGGCCTCATTTCCACCATGGTTCACAATTTTTTTCCCCACCAAAGTAACCACATTAAACGTGTAAGATCCTTTCACAAGACAGCTGAACTGAAAGAGATTGACAAAAGTATTACATCCACAGAGCGTCAACCCATTTTTTTATAATACAAGAGAGGTAATAGTGATATCACTTGACATATAGGTTCTGCCCGTTGGTGGACCTTCTTCTCATATGGCCAGAACT